CACAGAATTAAGAAATATAATATCGAAATTAAGATTCTAGAGCTGTTAGAAGCTTTTCTAATATAATAAAAAAAATCGATATTGTTTTTAACGTTCTGTGGCCCACACACACACACAATATCATTGGGGGGGGGACATTCTGTCCCAAAACCCCCACAATGACATTGTGTAAGCATGTAATTTTTACAGTAAAATTTGGTGGGGTGTATTATAGTATAGGAATGCTTTTCTTCTTTTGGGATTGGTAACATTGTAAGAATTTATGGAAATATGAACGGTAAATTATATCAAGAAATATTAAAGGATGACCTTCTAGAAACAATCAAATAGCATAAAGTTAATAAAAGTAATATTATATTCCAGTAGAATAATGATCTCAAATATACCGCAAACCTAATATGATAGTGGTTTGAGAATAATAACATTGATATACTTGAGTGGCCACCACAATCACTGCATTTAAATCTGATAGAACATTTATGGAATGAAATTGATAGATGTATATGATAATTTTTTATAGAAATTCATACATAAGATCAACTTTAGGACATGATACAGAAAGTTTGGATTAAAATGGATATAGAGTATCTTTAACAAATTAATTGAAAGTATGTCAGAGTAAATTAATGATGTAATAAGTGCAAAAGGTGGTTATACTAGGTGTTAAGCTTCAAATTAAAAAAATATTTGCTAGTTTAGGTTAGATTTTTTTTGTCTAATTATTCATTTAAGATCAGGTGTCAGAAATGATCAAAGTAACACATTGCGATAATTTGATTAAATTTTTATTTATACAATTTTTATATTAATAAATTAAAATAAAAATTTATCTTTTACATCGTTACAATATAATAAATTAAATGAATTGTAAATTTTATTTTTTTATCACGTGTATACAAAGTAATAAAATTTTAAAATTTGCCAATTGGGATGATGCATAACATTTGGGAGCCACTGTATATATATATTTCAAGTTATGGCAAATTTTTAATGGTAAATACATCATTTTTGAAAAATATAGATGAAAATACAACCATTAATACTATAACAATAAAAAAGATCCCTTTTGTCAACCACTTCAGATAATGATATTCAAAATTAAATGCAAGGATTAAAAGAACTAATTTTAAAATTATAAATTGTTAAAATTTTAATTCATAAAATATATGACGGAACCAAATTAGATCAAAATTTCAGATTACTCTTTTATTTACTATATATGTATTTATTATTTTAAATATTTGAAATGAAAATTTTTGTAAAATTGAATTTAAAATAATAAATACATGTTTAGACCTTTTTTAATGTATAATGAAACATCCTTATTTAAAGATAAGGTACAACTATATGAAAATAACTAGTTGACATATGCCTCCCCCTAATTTTTATAAAGATGATCTAAGTTTAAATTCTAATATAAATATGTTCTGTAATCACTTGCTAATCTTCTAATTTAATCAAACATTTTATCATGCTCACCATAAAGTATTCCACAATTTTCTTCTTCATCATCTTTTTTATTCATATCATTAAAGGTAAAGCTCTTGAATGTTTATATCAAAATATTTATCTTTCCTTTATATAAATTTCAACTAATTGGGTCTATATAAATCATATCTAGCAACTCATGTACGAATACATTCTAACATTGTAGGTGGAACAACTTGCAGAGGGGATATATCAAATTTTAAAGGACATGTATGGTACGATACTGGTAACAAGATTTGTGGTCAAAATTGTACATTGATGGATACTTCAGATGCACCAAATGAGTTTATTTGAAGTCCATGTAGGAGTGTATAAGAATGATCAGTGGAGAAATTCTGATCATGACTATGTTATGGAATTAACGGATTTGAATCTAATTGGTCTTTAGATGATGTGGATTGTAGTCAATTTCCAGATGCTCCAGCTTGCTAATAAATTTACTTAGCAAATATAATATAATTATCTAAACAAAACAATAAGTATCAAGGATATATCATTAGCTCATATCATGTAATAAAAAAATATATTTATATATTTGCTTTTTTCGGGTGATAATTCGAGACTTTCGTATAACTTCATGCTTTATTTTCAAATTATTTCTACGGATTTTTGGAGTATTATAATGTCATGCATTTAAAGAACACAACGTGTGTATTTTTTTTTTTTAATTAAACGATTTAATAAACCGAGAAAACAGGTATTGTTCCGCAGTAATATTTATTTACAGAATTACCAAAATAGTAATTCGTGTAAAAAATCTATTGGATAAATTAATTATTTTTACTAACTTTTGGATTTATTTTTTTTTTTTGCTGATTTGTTTTCATTAATAAATTATTTCTCTTTACGAAAAAAATCTTTTCGAATGATAATCTTAATTTATTAATAATATTACATATGTTTTATATTTTATTTTAAACATGCTTGTCAACTTCAAGCAGGTTGGCACCTACAAATTTTAATTTAGTAAGTGGAATAGTGGGGAAAATTTTCCGTCTATATAGATAAATAAATAAATTCTAACGAATAATCAATTAAAAGAACAAAATTAAGCATCAAATTAGTCACCTTTTATTTTACAGTAAATTTTTTTTGATTGCATAATTTACTAGAAAAGTCGTGAAGTTGTTGATAGTAACTTCACGGGTTATCAGAGATTACTACACAGTTCACGGTAAGCAATGCATTGATTGGATATTTTGCCA